ATAGAAAGTGAAAGCTTTGTCATCCTTACACAAGCCCCCATTAAACGTTCTAATTAAAACTGAGCAAAATGATAGAGATGTGACCTCAGAGCAGATATGCATGGGTACTGAGACCTCACTGCCAGTGCTAATTAGCTTGACATAGTAATCACATATTTCTCTCAGTTTCTAATTTTGGCTTCCACCTTGTGATTGCCATCTTAGAAACCATCACAGACTAACTTGGACTGCAACTCATTAAATTGTGTTTATTTCCTCCGAGCAAATTTAGGAGATTGACCTTATTGTCTAAAATGTCTTAATTATGAAGACAGTTGTGGTAATATGGATTTTACTTAGTGTGTACAATTAAGGTAAAGTATAAAAAGTAACTAAATGTATCCCTGTCTTTCTTCCTTCAGTGCCTAAAACTTTTAAGAAATTTATCTTAATAAACTCTATATTGTCTTTGGAAAAACACAAAGGCTCCGGCACACTTCCTTATGGGACACCTTTGACACAAGGGGCTAGTTTGGACAGGGTAGTTTGAACCGAAAATGATGCGTCTTTCTTGAGGACTTCATTTGGTCCACCTTGCTTGTACTTGGTTGGACCCACTTTTTCTTTTAGAACTGCTTTAATTCTTCCTGGCATAGATTCAACAACATGTCAGAAACATTGCGTTGATTGAGGCTACGTCCACATTAGCCCGGATAAATTAGAAAACGAAAGTTCCAGTATTGCCATGTGTGAAACGCAAGACGTTTCGACCTGCGTCAATTCTGTCTGCCGTTTAGTTACTTTCTGGCTCTTTGAAACGTCGCAGCAAAATGTCGAGGAAAAGCACCGAGTTTTTTAAGTGGACTAACAATGAGGTGGAGTTGTCGCTGCGAGTAACACAAAAGTACAAAGTTGCAAAAGCGATTGAGTTAAAGAATTTGAAGAAAAGCTATCTGGTCATGTACAAACTGATATTAATGTCTAATAGGGCTGTCAAAATTGAGCGCAAACAAAAGACGTGCTGTATAATGCCCTCCGCTATCCTAGCTTAATTGGTCACATGACTGCATCACATGATGCATGTGTCATCGTTTTCGAAAAGGCTCCGGGTTCGGCGTACACACTGCCACGCGTATCCGCTTTGGAGAGCGTTTTCCTTGACCGTCTCAGTGTGGACGGAAGGCCAAAACGGAGACAAAAAGATGCGTTTTCAAACGAAAACACATTAGTGTGGACATGGCCTGAGATCTAGTGACTGTGAGTATAGTGCACTCACTGTCATGTTCAACAGTGAGTGCACTGTTGCCCATTTAATACTAGCTGAACATTAAGCAGTGTTCAGCTGGTATTAAATGGCCCAAAGTATCTCAAGAAAATATCCACATATGATTACACCACCATCAGTAGCCTGAGCCTGAGCCTGACCCGCACAATGTTTTTCCAGTCTTCTGTTGTCCAATTTTGGTGAGCTGTGAGAACTACAGCTTCAGTTTCTTGTTCTTAACTGACAAAAATGGCAACCAGTGTGGTCTTCTGCTGCTGTAGCCCATCTGATTCAATGTTCAAACAGGTTGTTTAAGTTACTGTTGCTTTCCCTACAACTCAAAGCAGTCTAGTCATTTTCCTCTGACTTCTGGCATCAACAAGAAATTTTTGCTGTTCACTGGACATTGACTTGTTTTCAAACCACTTTCTGGAAATCTCAGAGATGATCTACTGGGATTTGTTGGGAAAATCCCAGTACATCAGCAGTTTCTGGAATTGTCAGACTAGCCAGTCTGGCACCAACAACCTCAAAGTCGCTTAGGTCACCTTTTCCCCCCATTTTGATGCTCAGTTTGAACATCAGCAGGTTGTCTTGGCCATATCTATATGCCTAAATGCACTGAGTTGCTGCCATATGACTAGCTGATTAGATATTTGCATTAACGAGCAGTTGAACAGGTTTATCTGTGCAATTACCTCCTTCAATGTTTACCCCAGCACTAATGGGTAAACTGCCAACATATGCTAAAGGTTTTCCACTACAGCAGGAACATTATCTCTCCCTGGCTCATTTATTTTTCACTTCCTTGTTTATTTTTTCCAAATATGAAGTAAAGTGAGGGACCCTTCAGGATACCCAACTCAAGCTTGCTGCTGCACTTACATGGCACCCCCCCAGTGACAGACTTACAATGCAAGCTTTTGATCAGAGAGGTGTAGTTAAACCATCAATTCAACGCAGTGCAAACACACTAACCTGAGAGACATACCAACGCTTGTTTAGACTACTGCTGTCAGCATTTCAGAAGCCCCACGCCCACCACAGCACCTAACCGTGGGCTCTGAATCTAGATTTCCCTTGAGGGGAAAATTAGTATTGTCACTTCCCACTTCCTGCTGAGATGAGCTTGATGTTTTATGCTTGATGAGCAATTAGCTAAGAAGATAAAAGCCAAACATTAATGCTGCACATATTCTAAATTTATATAACTATTTAGTAAGAGATGGTTGACTGATATGTTTTTTAGGACAACATAATGGAACGCTGAATTATACTAACAGGCATTATATGGCAAAAAGCGCTGTATTTTTTCCCAGATCATAGTATTATTCTGTCATTTTTAGTGTCTTTCCAAGACTTTAAGAGATATTACTCATGCCATGTTATGTAAGATGAATGAAATATCTTGCCATTGAACATCTGTCAGATATGTTAATTAAAAGCACTTCTTTGTTGTGCCCGTGAAAGTGCAATTCAGATTGCTTTACATTTCTCTAAATGCAAATCAGCAGTATACAAGCACAATAATGAGGCTTAATTACAGCTCCATGATTAAAAGGGTGAGCTGGAAATGTTCTACAGTGAGTCATGTGAGCGTTGAAGCAGACTCGGCTGCCTGAACTAAAGCCTGCTCTTTATTCGCTTCGGGCTTGTTAAGTGTTCTTGAGTTCGTAATCTGGATATTCAAGGTTACTTAAGAAATTCAGGCCTCCCCTGAAAAACCGTTTATTACTTTTAACGCAACTTGCGCTGCGAATCCTTGCTCATCACAGTCCTAATGATCTCCGCCATCCAGGGAAATTAAATTTCCTCTGTCCTTTACTTTAGGAATACACATGCACTTGAAGCTTTTTATACTTTACAGCACTTTTAGACCGAATATGCATAATAGTTTCTGTGTATCCGGGTTTGAGATGACAGTTTTTATTCACCACCCGAAACCAAAATGTCCTTGCCACGTTAAAGGCGTATAAAAAGAATCACGGCTGAAAAACTCGACCGCAACAAATGCCTCTTCACAAAAACAAGCAGTTGTAAAAGATCCACAAATAAACATCTCTCTGACAGTGAGCTTTATAAATCTCTAACGTGTAGGTGTAAGCTGTTACTGTATGTCACAGTAACACCCAGCCAGACGGCATGTACCAGAAAGAGTTGGTAGGCCTCCAGAGTGTAATTTGCCCCCAACCACTTCCACTCTAGTGGAAGACTGCATCTCTTGGGAAGGCAGACACTCTTCACACTGACTCATCTTATGTGTGTGTGTGTGTGAATGTGTGTGTGTGTGTGTGTGTGTGTGTGTGTGTGTGTGTGTGTGTGTATAGGGTTAGTCTTCGAGTGCATTTGTGGTTAGTAGGGCAAGTTTAGCAGAGCTCACACCCTGAAATGACTGATTGCAAGAGACAGGATGCCTCATGAAGGAATGAAGGCAGGACAGATTTCATGTTCTTTCTGTGAAAGCTCCGTTTCAGCAAAACATGCACTACAGTGTGTGGGAGAGTGATTGTTAGGTTCATTAACACCAACATGCTGCACATTCTGGCCGCCTGTTAAAAGGCAGACGAACCAACACCTGTTAATGTATTACTGTGTTTTTTTTCTTTTACTGCTTATGTTTTAGTATAGCTGGCATGTGCTGTCACATATTTATCTTTCATTCTGGATGTTTGTCACTCCTGAAGAGTAGCATTAGTGTGATACAACTAAAAACCACAACAAAAAAGGTATAAATCACATGCTATATAATCTGGAGATACAATAAAATTGTACCTACTGTTGTTTAATGTAATTCATGCCCAGCCTATTTAGAACAGGTCAAGTGTTAAAGAGGGAAAATAATCTTCAGGAAGTTGTATTGCTGATAACATCTCATCTCTCCCCTGCTTTCCAAACCTCTTTGCAAAGCAGAGCCACTGAGACAGTAACGCTGAACAAGTTCAACCCACTGCTGGCAATGCTAAAAAGCAAAGGGAATACGGAAATGGCTAGAAGAGGAGTGTTTGAGCAAGGATGTAATTCAGTGCTTTGCTGCTTTGTTCACAGACATTTACCACGCCTCAAGCTTCCTTCATCTACACCAACTCATGCTAATTCGCTCAACTCATCTCTATTTTTTGTTAAAAAAAAAATAGAAAAATTGAATATTTTCAGAAAAGAAAAGTGAATTATTTTATTTCCATAATAGCACACAGTTAGTTAAGGCTTAGCCTACTAATCTCCCAACTGACTTTTTCTTTTATATATCCTGCCTTTGCTTTTCACCCACTGTCTCTCCCTCCTGCTGTGCAAGGAAAGAGAAGAAAAATATCACATATAAGAATTGGGGGGAAGGAACAGATTACCACTTTTCATGTGAACAAAAAGATAGCTTGTTGCTGTAAAATAGCCCAATGTTACAGGGTATATACTCACGTTGTGAGCAGCCAGCGGGACTGCTTGGCCAGTCCCAGACAGGCCAGCAGGCAGATGATCAGGTCCAGGATGAGGAGCAGCAGGTATGTGAGCCACCTGCAGACACAGACAGACCACAAAATTAAACTGCTGCTGGTGAATGCCTTTTATTTATGGGAGGTGATGGAACATGGGAGGTTAAAAAGAAATTCAGTTTCTGAAATGTAGCCTTTATTTTTGTAGTTTTGCCTTTATTTCTACCCGTAGTAATACCTTTGTTGTCAATAGCTGGAGATGGGTTTCTCTTGAAAGCAACCAACAACATTCTTTCACAGCAGGCATCACTACCAATTTATTTTAAATTACGCACACAGAAATATGAATTCTGAGAGGTAAATCTGCCACATAATTGTTTAAAATTGCACCTCACTCCTCTGTGCTAGCTAGTGGTTTAGCAACTGTTAAAAAACAGGGTTTACAAGCATTTATTCTGCAGAGAATCATTCTTATTATAATTAATCAAAACATACAGAAAAATTCGATCGATGTTGGAACCTAGTGAAATAAAAAATGACTCGTAAAGACAAGCAGGAAAAGAAAGAAAGGGTAAAGTATTGCACCTAATTTCACATCATCGGATACGTGCATTAGAGGCGTGTGTGAAAGTGTGTTCGTGCTCGCGGGTATAACGTGGTAGAGTTGTCCACCTCACTGTAACCATCTGTTATTCGAACAGTTTGTGGCTGGACATAGTAAACCTGTCCAGATGGCTTATAATGAATGGATTCAAATCCATGTGGCTGAATGTTTCATGGTATGAAAAATACAAACTGTGGGGAATCGTTTCAGTTTAATTTCCTGTCTATTTCCATCGTTGTTCATCTTCCACCCTGTATACATAACTCTGACATCACTTTGTATATTCTTATTGTGTATTTAATCATTTCTTTCTACTTCTCACCAGCCAGAGTTTCTACCCCTCTGACAGAATCCATCTCACATCTCTTCTCCATCTTTTTCCTTTTCCTCCCCCTCTTCGTCAGTCTCTTTAATCTCTCTCCCCTCTCTCTCTTTCCCTTTTAGCCCCTTTTCTCTCCCTCGCCGCCATCTCCTTCCTCGTTTTATCTTCCCCCCCTCGGCAGGGGACAGTACAAGAAGCTGGGGCATCAGCATGGGAGGTACTTCAGTAACGCTGCCACCTTGTTGTCTATGTTATCCTAATCTAATTAGAGTCTGAGCAAAGCATGAATACATGCAGGAGGTTGAACGGGCGGCATGTATGTATAATAAAAAGCAAGACCTCTTTTCCTCAAGAAACAAAATACAGAACACTGAGATTTGTCAGTCTTTCCTGATGTTTTGCTCAAGTTCTACCTGTTTACCCTCACAGACAGGTCAAAGGTGACTGGATCCTGCATCTAAGCGTCAGGTCATTTCATGAGAAAAACATCTGGCTTTTGAAAGTGTTTATGTACACAAATATTTAACTGTCTGCAATGTATCTGACTTCAAAACACAGGAATAACAATGAAAAATCGCTCTTCCATTTTTAATCGCTTATCCTTGTGAAGGGCACGTTGCCAGTCCATCACAGGGATAACACCCAGAGACAGACAGTCATTCACACTCAGATTAATACCTACGGCCAATTTAGAATCACCACTTAATCATTAATTAATCTAAGAGGCATGTCTGTGGACCGTGGGAGGAAGCTGCAGCCCCTGGTGAGGACCCACACAAGCACAGAGAGAACAGGTAAACTCTGCTGGGCAGTTCTTTCCACTTAGAAACCATGCAGATAAAGAAAAAATCTACTGATGTTGTCAATATCTTAACCTGATGTGGTAAAAACAGATCAATAGAGAGAGAATAAAACTGCATGGTAAACTAAGAATGGTTAGGAACAGTAGTTTTGCATTGGGCCACAGTTAAAAGAAATACTGAGCAATTCCTGGAAGTAATAATGTTACTTTTTGTGACTAAGTAAGAAAACAACACTGGAAGAGTGAACAACACACAGGCTTTTATAAGTTCAACATGAAAAAGAAAAGAAGAAAAAAGAAAAACAGGAAGCACACACAGCCAACCGCACAGAAACTATTTGTTGGAGTGCAGCAGTGATAATGAGTCCATTAACAGCTTACAGTGTCTGGCTGTCTGCTTGCAGTCTGCCTACACTTCTAGCATGGAGCTATGCGGGGTATTGATTTATTGGCTGAGCAAAGGAGTCACATTACAGATCAATACAAACACATAAGCCTGTCTGTTACTGCAGACTCCACAGAAAACACCACTGAGCCTATTCAAGAATAAAAATAAAAACTGGACATGAGCCCATTTTTTCCCTCTAAGACGATGAGAGTAACAACAGCGAGACAAAGCCTCGGAAAATAGTTGCGCTAACACATTGCAGTAGTTTTTGCAGTAATAGCTGCTGTTTTCATTTATGCAATGATTGCTAATTATTCAATAGGATGCTTTTTTGAACATCCTAAAGAACTGTCTGGAAGATAATTCACATGCAGTATGTAGGTACACACACAAACACAGCTGCATTATTATTTAAACCCACCCAATAAATATTATGTGATATATTCAGGTCATAGCATGTAGAAAGTAATCTATTCTACCGTGTTTAAATTGCTCATTGCAGCTATAAAATGAATGTGCATGACTATATGCAAGTTTGTTTTATTTGGATTATTTTTTTTAACATAACACTGATTTAATTAGCTTTTTAGGTGCACTGATGCTTAGATGTCTTCTAGATAAACTTTTGCCATATAAACTGATTAAAGACTGCATGTATGTATGAAAAGTAAACTTGTTCCATAATAATAATTATATTCCTTAAACACTTTTCTACTGATTTTCATTGTATAAATAAATTTGAAAATTTCACCTCCCACGTGTCTGGGAAGCTTTAAACCGTTAAAAATGTTCAGGGCAACGGAAACGTGCACCAACAGAAATAACCTTCCTGAATCCTGTCCTCGAGCTCTGGGTGTTTTTCTCCTCCTGTTTAACTAGACACTTTTATAGCATCGAGTAAACAGATTCGCACACAGTACAACCTTGACACATGTACTCTTCTGTTCCCCACCTGTAGTACTCTATGGTTGCTGACTGATCGGCAATGGATGCCAGGTCCACTTTAGCTTTTTCCCAGTCAGACAGTCCGAGCAGCTGTTTGATCACATTGTCAGCCATCTGCTGCATGAACTGCAGGGTCTGCACGTAGTCGCCCCGTGTTGCAAAGATCTCATCAAGCCTCGCAAGGTGCTGGTGCAGCCCACTCCTCATGTTGCCCATGGTGCCTGAAACCTGGAGCGCACAAGAAGAAAGAGTGGGGTAAGATTAACTGACACAGCAAATACAGTTAGAGGGTATGAGTCAATGGTATTATAATACATTAATAGATCTATCTAAAGTACTGCATAGAAGTCCTGAGAAACTAAATTTCTTTCTGTGTTTTTTAGGAAAATTAGGTGGTGATTTATTGAAAAACATGCAAATGTACACAGAAATAAAAAAATACAACCTGTAAGGCAAAAAAGAGAGTTTGTTCACTTTCAAAAAGCTTGAAAATCAATATTGGTATGACCACCTTTATTCTTCAACACAGCCTGAACTTTCTTAGGCAAGTGTTCTAACTTTTATAAGTAGTCTTCAGGAATAGTTTTCTAAACTTCTTGAAGGACATTCCACAGCTCCTTTGGCAGTCTTTTATCCCCTTCTCTGTCAAGATGAACCGCTTTAATAATGTGTGCTTGCTTTTTTATTCATTTATGTTTTTACTGTTGTTGTTGAAGCAATCAGACAGTTTCCAGGCGGTACAGCATGGTTGATCAAAAGCTGATGGCTCAAATACAGCCTAAAACAATCACAGAGCCTCCACTGTGTTTTACAGATGGCTAAAAACAGACAGTTTTAACCCGTTTCTGACCTCTTCTGACTCTCAGATAGTATTCGTCTGCAACCTTGACAGTTCTTTTGCACTTAACATGCCAAAGTCCATGTTTTTTTTTGTTTTTTTTTAAGGACACATTGCAAAGATATGCCAATAGCTCTATCAGAATCACCTTGCTGGTGCAAAAATACTATTTCATGCCCGACAAGATCACAAATTATGTGTTTTTGCAAAAGCAGCTAGTAACAAAGTCCTTAAAGCTATCTTATCAGGTACAAGGACTGGATTGCAGAAGGTTGTAAAAACAGTTTATCTATCTATCTGTCTGAAACAATGTACTTAACAGCAGTGAATTGTAGCAATGGACTACATATACTAAGTATAATATGCTTCTAATAATATTCTAAATATAGAAATTTTCTGTTGCTTAAAGTGAGGCACTCAACCGGTCAGTCAACAGCTGCTCTTATTCAGCTTTTCACTGAACAATGAACAGAAAAGTCCATATGAAACAGCTGTGTGTGTGTGTGTGTGTGTGTGTGTGTGTGTGTGTGTGTGTGTGTGTGTGTGTAGGAAATCAACATTGAAGTAATTCATCTTCATGTGTTAAATGCTTAGGCAGTGAGAAGTCTTCTTCAACGTGTATGAACTTCCATTAGTTTACAACATCTCCAACAAAAGCAGACGAAGCAGGAAACGCAATCAATCTGAGGCCACTCCCTGACCTTTAGCCATGCGCTTAGCGTGGTTAAAGGTCAGGGAATAGCCTGACCTTTATGGGGATGGCAACATCTCTCTGTTGGTCAGTAAGTCTCTCCACCGTTTTGTTAAAACATCTTTAAAATTATCTAAAAAAAATCAACTGTTAAAGAAAATGGTTTTCATAGTTTCCACATCGTAGATTATGAATCAAAGCACTCAAATCCTTGGAAGAGAAATGACTTGAAAGTCAAATGACTACTTAGTGTGTTCTCATCCAGTTTTGCACTATAGATTTTTTTTTTTTAACATGCAGGTTAGATTTAAGCACCTGGAAAGATACTAACACAGACCTTTACAACAGTAACCCCACATCATGCAAAAGCTGATGCCATAACTCAGTGTCGAACACCACTGCTGAAGACAACTTGTACTTGTTAGTGTAAGATGACGAACATGTCAAGACTTGCACACTCATTAGCATTTAGCTTATAGCCCTGAGTAGTAAAGCGTTTTCATAAACCTGTCAAACAACTAGCATTAACCACAACATTTTTGCTTTTCTTCATGGCAATAAGAAACCGAAGCTCCTGGAGAAAACTCAAGCAAGCACAGGAACAACATGCAGGCTCCACACACAAGGACTCTGTCTGGGTTCAAATCAAGTATCCTATGAGGCACTGACCCACCGTGCTGCCATAGAGTCAACTCACCAGCCTTTAACGCTTGAAGTCTTATTCACAGAAAACTCATCAATACAACTGATGCTTTAATGAGTTGTCAGCAAAACATATAAGTTTGAACACAGCATAATGTTTTCTATGCCAGACTTTTCTGCTAAAATAATAATGTACTGACAGTGGGGTTTTTTATTACTGAGGTCATGTGTTTGCCTGAAAGAAGTTCCCAGAATTATGGACAAAGGTGAGATTTTTCGTAAACATGAGGTTGGTCTGTGCTGCCACTCAGCAGCAGAGCTCAGACAGAGGACCGTGTGGGAGAGCTGGGCTACTGTGCATGTTGATGCATGGTTTTAGTTTAAGTAAACAGATCAGCTTGGAAAACAGCCAAAACTAGAAATCGCAGAGGCAAAACAGCAGGTTTGCTAGTGCTGCTGTTGGTGGTTAGATATTTTTTTCAAACCAACACCTCACTATGAGACTTATAGTTTATTTACCTGTTTAAGCCCGAAAGGAAGAGTGATCCCCTAAGCCAAACAACAAACAGATAAACAGCAAACAGACACATTTATTGTGACAAATCACATTTTTATTTATGGCCAAGACAAGATTATACAGTATTTATGTAACAAATATCGAACCATCTTCTTGGGTTTAATTACTGTGTACTTTGCTTGAAGGGAGAAGTTGTTTACAGGGAAATGGTGTTCGTGGAGACAACCTGCTATAAGATAATTAAAAAGGGAAATAAGTGCTCTTATTCAGCTCTGGGTACTTGGCATTCACAAGCAAGACTACTCATATTGTTGTTGGCTTTGTCAGGGACAAGGCTTGCTGAAGCTAAAAGGAAAGTTTGGATAGCAGTAATTAGTTGGTTTTGCATGTAATGTGTGGGCCACATTATACAGCTTACGGAAGAGCTGAGAATAAATACATAATGAGAAAAAAGGAAGAGAAAGGTTAAGTGCAGCTGATTGAGAATTGTTTGCTAAACTTTCATAAATATGTCTTCATAAACGAATCATTGGACTGCCCACAATTAAAACTATATTTTTCTTTCAAAAAGTGAACGATATTAGACATAATGCATTATAACATGAATAATGTTTACTAGAATGTCTCAAATCGAGTTTTTTTGCTATTAATGCAGATTCATTTCCTTTTCATGTGATCTGACTACCCAGGTCAAAATTCCAAACATAAGAGAAACCAGATGAAGTTTGATTTAGTTTATCTTCCTTTGTATTTAACTTTGATAAAGTTGTGCATGTTGTTAATCCTTTTGATGAACGATGCTATTCCATAAGGTCGCTCCTTACAAAATTAGTCATTAGATGTCGATTACCTTAATGAAAAAATCTAACCTGACATACTTGTATAAAAGCAGAGCAACTACTGAAAATCACAGGTTTAAAGAACTCGTCCATTCTTATAGTGAGACAGAAAAGGGAGTTAGATGTGATGTGATTAAAGTAGAGTTAGGTGGATCCAAGTGTAGACACTTGTAAGCCATCTGGGCATTGGGGGGAAAATCCAATGCACAGCAGCAGATCTACAACAGAAAGGCTGAAAAAGAAAAGAATTACAATGTTGCAATGAGCCAGTAAAATTCAACTTGGTTGAAATACTGTGTTGGGACCTTAAGAGAGCTGTGGATAAAACAAATTCCCACAAAATCCAATTAACTAAAGCAATGTTTTAGAGAAGGATCATTCTGTGGATCAGAATTCCTCCTCAACGATGTGAGAGACTGATAAAGTCATACAGAAAATAATCACTACGAGTTATTGCTGCTGAAAGTGCTCCTATGAGCTGCTGAATAATGGGGTGCACACAGTGCTGTGAAAACATCACATTTCCTTACATCATTCATACTGGTGCGCCTCCTGATTTATGGGTGAATGTTTTCAGAGGACGTTAATATAGTATTCTCAAAGAAATTGATCACTTTAATCGCAGCAAACCTTTTTAATTTTCATTTAAAGTTATCACTTTGATTGATTGCCATAAGAATAATCAGACAGAAATCCAGCACACAGTGGCTTCTGGGTTTTACAAAAAGAAACAGATCGTATGCACAGGCATGTAGCACTCTGTACTTTGTTATCTGATCACTCATCAATACATCTTCTTCTTCAAACTGAGAAGATGAAATTGCAGATGAAAAATGAAAGCACATATCTGATCCTCGCCTCCTGTGTAAAAATCTTATCTAAAATGCCCAGGGAGACAGACAATCCAGCTAATCTCTCCTTCATCTTGGTCTGATACTCACTGTGTGGGTTGATCCGCACCGATCAAGAAGATATAATTCCCCTTTTCCAGTCATCTCAGCCTTTATCTCAGACTGATGTTTTAAGGGCACGGAGAAGTACTTTCCGCCTCACATCTTTTCTAAACAAACAATTTACAGTAGATTGTACTCAGTGCCTAGCTATTTTCTTGTGGGATATTCATTTCTACATGCCAGAGGGTAAACAACAAACAATGAAAAAAGTCTAAAGAACCATTATACGTGACATTATTCGGATAAAATATGCGTAACCTTAAGCAGAGAAAAATGACAATGGGGTGTGACGTTTCAAATGTAGATTCTCGCTTCAGGAAATGGAAAAAAATACAGATCAATGGGCATCATGTGCAGACTCTTGTTTACACATTTTAAAGCCCCTGAGCATCATTTGAAGGGGAGAAACAGTTATGTAGTCTCAGATCCTACTTACAGAAAACCTTGCCATTTGCCATGTCCATCTTTCAAAACGCCATCATTTTTTCCAATGACGTATTGTAATGCCCACGGGTAACTTAATCCATCCTGTCTCCTAAGGCCTGTACACATTTCAGGCAAGAAATGTTTCCTTTCTTTAAGCCCTGGTCTGAGATTCTACAGAATATAAATGCCACTTCCTTCACTAGAATTCGATCTCTATCTTTAAGCCTGTTCGGGCTGGTATGTCTCTGTGGAAGTGATGCCTCAGAGAGATGAGGGATCACAAAACAGAGAGTGAATGTAAAAGAACAGTTCTAATTTGAGGCACAAACCTCCCAGAAAGTGTTCGTCTCTGAGATGAACCATGTAAAAAAGAAAAGAAAAAAAAAGGAATAATTTCTAATTCTTTGTAGTGTTTTCCTTTTTAAAAATTCAGTGCTGCTGAGCAGGCATCACAGAATCACTTACAATCGTCTCGTAATTGCTTGATAAATGAGAACTGTTTGACTGTATTTTTGAAATTTAAAAAAAAAGGATAAGATATGGAATCAGATCTTTTTTCTGCAATCCATTGTGTCTGTATGATAGAAGAAGAGAAAAATTTCTTCAATTAAAATTGAATGTGGGAGCTAGAGCGTGAAATGGAACATGGGTCTGAAGTGCCTTGGCAGCTCGGTCACAGTTAAAGATAGAGACCATCTTCACCACTGGGTACCGAAGCTCTGAAAACATCTCTTTAAAAATAAATTCCTTTTTTAAGTTTGATACTGAATGATCACGAAGCTTCTAGGAGGTCATCCTTCAGAGTGGATTAGTGGTGTTTATGAGTTTGTTGATGAAAGACTGAACAAGTTTTCAAAGATGATGTTTCTCCTTAAGTTTTTGCAAAACTGTTACTTCTTCTACACATTTTGAGGTAAAGCATCAGTTGCTCTGATAAAGATAAGTCTCACATCGCTGGTTTTCTCCAATTTAGATATTTACACACAGAGTGATGCAGTCCACTGCCTCAGCAAACACCTTGGTTGTCTCCTTACTGTGGAAGAGCAGTTTTGCTTTCAGGCTCTTTCCTGTTATCCAAAATCCTCTCCCATTCCCTATACATGAGCAAAACCATCCACAGTCCAACTGTTTGTTCTAAATTAACTTGTACATTTTGGTGCTGGACTTTCAATTCCCCTTTGACTGCAACAGTTTATTACAATCCTCAAAAAGATTGTTTTGCTTGAGAAAATGTATGCTAAACACATGCGCATAGGCCTATAAAAACAAGCCATGCTTCTATTCTACTCATTTCCAATTACACTGAATGAAACAACTATATTTGCAGAAAACCAACGAATAGTCGTAAATTTAGCAAAACTGGCATGTACCACAGACTCCATGAAAATCTGTAGTTTGTGGCACAGTTTAGTCAACTGGTGTTGTGGTAGTCACATCAATGGGAGTAATATGCTGTCATGTTGAACTACAAACTTCTAGGTAAAAGAACTACAGCAGTGAACACAAATTCACCTTTTCCTATAAACCTGTATGTAAGTAGAGATGGATGTGATCACCACGAAATTGCCAAAAGCTGTAGTTCTTCCAATAACGATGTGAAGCTGTTTAGATATTTTACATGGGACAAAAACAGTCTGGTGCCTTTAGACATGTTCATGTGGACTGACTTGATTTTTGAACCAGCTTCACATCGTTATTAGAAGAACTACATCTTTTGGTGATGGCATGGTGATTACATCTGTACAGACTGTTTTTGCCCCATATAAATATGCATTTACATATTTTACATGGGACAAAAACAGTCTGAGGGCTTACCGACATGGGTTTTGGAACCATCGTCAAGTTGTTGTCAGTTGAGGAACATTTGACACTTGTTCATCAATTTAAATTTTAATCCCCAGATGTTGATGCTTATGTCTAGGCCACACACATGTCAATCGCCAGCTCTACTTTACCCCTAACAATACCTCAAGATACTTAAATTTCTTTGAGAAATGTCATTTCTAAGAGACAGAAGAAAAACCATGGTCAGGCTGTAAATATGGGCATACAAGGTGCTCATAAAATACCAGAAGCTTGGCCGGAAACACTCTTTCCCTACAACCATAATAAATTCACCTGGACAGAATAGGGCTCTATGTGACCTTGAATATGTTCTTTATGTGCCGTTGAGGTTTTTTGACACTTAATATAAGCGAGTTAAACATCAGGTTCTTACACTAGGAGTATTTACAAAAATAACTATAATAAATAAATAATTGTGTTTCAATATTAGCTTGTATCACGAAAAGCTTACCGTTTTGTGTTATTACAGAAGCTTCTAGTGAGAATGGTGTAAAATGGTGTCAGGCCAGCATCCAAACCTTAGTTGAGCTCCAGCCAATTGTTCAGTTACTGACCCAGACACTGACCTAGTCCACTGGATGATTGCTTTCCAAAAGCTCTAATAACATCCTTCACCCGCAGAGTTATTATTGGTGTTTAAACACTCCAAATATGAGATCAGTCCCATTACCACTAAAAGGCATCCAAGCGGGCCAGTTTCCAGAGCTAACATTACTGTTCGAAAGCAATGCTGCTGAAATGCAAGTGTTTATTTTTTTAAAACTCACTTTCCCAATAGGTTTATTTCGTGGTCTGCCTCAGAGGGAATTGAGTTTGTTAAATTTTTATAACAAACTGAACTAAACTTGTAAAGTGTGCATCTTTTTTTATTGTTTTGAGCTTAAGAGTGGAGAGTTGTTCACAGATTCTCACTATGTATGACTAGTGTTTATAGTATGTTGCATGGTTGATGTTATGTACTGTAGACCAAAGCACCACTTAGGAAGTCTGCATAAAAATGATTGGTCCTAGCTAACAAGTTGTGTGCATGCAAGGCAGGTAAGCTGTGTGTATCAACTGCAATTGTTATAGTTTCAGCATCACCACCAGTTGTAATTAGCTATGCAGCATTAATTGTTTAATAACCTGTTTGTTATTTAGACGCTGTGGTGCATCCTTCATCTGCGTATTTGGCTCTCTATTTTTTTCCAATTTAAAACCAGAGTAATATTCTATATTCTCGCTATTCCTCCGTATTCATTTGCTCGAGCCACCTTCTTCATCTTTTTCCAGGTTTCCGTGTGAGTCTGTGTCCATAACACATCATAAGCATATATTCCAGACCGTTACTAATGAAACTCTCAATAGCAGCAGAGGAAAAAAAGCATCTGATGACAAAGAGCCTAACTTTCCTCCTTTTCTCACTTATATTCTGAGCTTACCCCTTTTCTAAACTTTCTAGGAGCTGGGCTAAAAGGCATTTGTGTGGTCAAAAGGGCAGAGAGGCCTTCATTGTCAATGATTTCAATGCCGATTTTAACCCCGACTCTGCCAATCAGACGGGCTTGCACTGCTCCTAGTTCTACCCATCAAAGGGCTTTGTCTCCTGGGCTCATGGTTGATTAGGTGGGGGGAGACTAGGAACTGTGTGTGGCACACTGGGCTCTTTGTCCAACTCAAGAATTAGACTCCTTAAGAGTCTATAGCAGCGTGCAATGAACTCACTCATGCACATGCACACACAGGCATGCACATTCACACACATAAGATGCCCAAATAAAGGCCACTATGTCCAATTAAGTGCTTGCACAAGTTCACACACCCTAGAGGAACATACTGATAAGTGCTCCAATATGCAATATATTATTGATTTCTCTCCACTTATTATTAGGATTCTGATAAACTAATGTGTTTGTCCACTTTCCAAAATTATTGGCAGAGAATCAGAGAACAATAAATAAAATCTAGAAATGCCAAGAGATGCATCTTTGCCTCTTTATTATAGTAATACAAGCTTAATATGCAGTTATATTGATCAAATGGAATAAATCAAAAATGCTAACTTGTGTGTTGTACAGTATGGTAGCAACTAATCCCAGATGACCAAATAGAGTAGCCCAAGTGATATCTCAACCTCAGCAGTCACAGAGATCTTACATGCTTCCAGTTTAAAATATTGATGAAGTCCCACAGCTTAGAACCACTCTCCTTTTAAATCTGTGATTATTTTCCCTAATCATCAGCATCAGATGTCCTAACATGCCACAGAACACTGCTGCAGAAAGCGCGCTGCAGGCTCTCTCGAGACGTGTTTATTACCGAGGCCAAGTCGAGTCGCCACGCTGAGTGTCTCACACACCACTACATTAATCTCCATTAATACAAATGGAGACTTAATCCCTACTCTTTGACAGCGAGTTATCCTGGGTCTGCTCCTGCATCGACACTGGTCAAACGCCTGATGAGAACACACAGTGAAGGCTTTAAAACCTCAACAATTAATAGCTACACGATGTTCTATTACTGCTGGCAAATATAACTAGAAGATAACAGTTTTAAGAATGGGTTAAAAGTGCAGATACCAGTGTTAAAAAAAAGTCTGACAAGTGATGCCAGTACTAATATTATTTTGTTTTTTTGTTTTTGCTATATAGTGTGTTACTATTTAAATTTTATTCCTGCACAGTTAACGTGGAGCACCTATAATTTTATTCTACATCTACAATGACAATAAAAGGCTATTCTAGTCTATATTTATGCCCTCTTTAGTGCCAAGAATACACAAAAAATCATTAAAAAAAGTCTTTCCAGTCTGCATCATGCTCACGTTCACACCTATGGGCAATTTAGAATCACCAGTTAATCTAACACCATGCATTTCTTTGGACTGGGGGAGAAGGAATAAAGCAAACTCCACTGAGACAATGCCCCAGACTGGAAGGCTAACCACCACACCACTTTTAAATATCAGTAGATATCAGTGTAAAATTCCACATTTTGGAATTTAGTCTTAGTCTTTACTGGAGTCCTAATCAAGTGTCAAATGATGGCATTTCTTATGGAAAACTGCATCTGGACAAAATTAAAGAATCCTCAAAAAACACAGTGAACTTAACTGAGCATAAAAGACAGGACGGCTCTGTGTTTGCTGAAGCCACAGAGGCTAGGAGAAGGTGGAGCAGGCAGAGGGAGTGTGTGTCTCTCTCAGAGGACGAGGTTTGTGTGTGGAGAGGCTGTCAATTTGTGTGTAGCCGTAAATAGCTATAAAAAAAACCCCCATAAAAACATTTAAAGGCATACTAAATTGAGTCCTGTGGGCTTTCCTTCTCTTTGGAGCCTGTGTGGTTGTCCGCCTGTGTGTGGGGATACATCACATCCAGCCTTTCTGAAGTCTTCACCCAGAGTTGTTTGAGTCGTGCTTCATTGGTCACTCATTTATAAACCATGCATGTTATGAAATGACGGGAATTTAATCAAATGCTTTCAATTTATTTTTGCAAACTAATACATGATGTAATCTCATCCGTCCAGAGATATGTGAAGCGCTAATTGTGTGACACTAATATGTTTGTAAATGATGCTTTACATACCAGACTGTCCACTCCACCCAGCGTGTGATTGGCGTTGTACAAGGAGTAGGTCATCTGGTATACACCGTCATTGGTCTCGCTGTTGCCATAGAAACCCACACCCACTGCGACGCTGCAGAGAAAAGATGCATAAAGGCGCAGGTGAACCTTTGATAAAGAAGGAGCAGAATATAAAAGCAGTCTCTTGGATTTTAAATCATCTACATCCAAAGTGCTGCCATTTTCGGTCCTTAAATTAAAAGTTTGCCAGCTTCAAAGCCATTATCACAACCTGGCTGAGATTAAACATTAATGCGAAACGACCCGTAAACAACAATTTTCTGTCTACTTGAAAACATCTTTGCCAACCTGCAGTGGAAATATACAACTTACAAGGTAGTATAGCATGGCACACTGGAAAAGAGCACAACGTTTTATGAATATTTGATGCCTTTTTTTTAAAGATAAAAAAAAAAAAGAATTTGGCTATTATCATAAAGCAGTATCATCAATTTCTGCATCAGGCTTGAGTTTTGGAAAAATTTTAAATGTATGAGGTTAATGAGGCACTTTGGGACAGAAATTTTGTTTTAGCTATTCAGTAATTATTTCCCACTGTAAACAGCTGTGAAGCAGTATGAATGGTATTACAGTGCGAAGGCTGAGTTGCTGAGTGTGTCGGTGAATACAGGGAGTAAAAGCCAGCTCGCCCAAAGGGTCTGATCTAGCTTACAGAATGATTTTAGAAAGGTGTGAAAAATGAAGAAAAGTAGGGTATTGTATTTCTGGAGCTTTTAATGTATTTTACATCAGGAAGCACTGCTGTTGTTAAGGCGTTAAGAATTGATCTCTCCATCGCTCCATCCATTTGTTAGACTGCTCATTTTATCCTAACCAGTGGTCTGAGTTGTCAGTTCAACAGCCTTGTCACTAACAGACATTAGCTGTCTGTCTCATCACACCGTAGTGTGTCCGATGTGTTATTTTTTGATAAATATCGCCAACTTTTTATGTAAATACAACAAACAGGATGAGGAAAAACTAAGATGCCTTAATGAATAACAATAAATTGCTGATTTATAGAAAATAAATACCTGTAATTTGTGTATGTGTGTGTTTGATGCACATATATCTCACAGCGCAATGAAGCAGCAAATGAAGCAGCAAAAGCTTTTTGGATTTCTGCGTTAATTTTTGTAAACAACACTCTTTGAATCAGAAATTATACAATACAGGCCTCTGGAACGCGTGTGCATAAATTGAAACCACTTTTGCATATTCAGCCATCCAAGGATTTAATTTGTTGAGCTGGAGCATCAGCACAAACAGAATAATAACCGGCGCATTCTAAACACACACACTTAAGTAGTCTCTCTGAGCTCCACTTTTTCCCTAAGTGCCGTCATATTGTGCTGCCATATGATGGGATTTCAAAGTAGCCGCACAGTTGTTAACTACAAGAAGATTTAATGCTGCAACACAATGTCTCACAATATACTCCAAAGACCCTGCACAAGAATCCTCTGCAAAGACAAGGATGTCCAAGTCTTGCACTACAGACACTGAAGGCCGTAGATCAGAGCAGTGAGCAAGTGTTTTATACCCTTTCTTTTCAATAACTACGCAGGACAAAAAAGGAATACAGATCCCGTATATGACCATGATCTGTGAGAAACAGGACATGACAGAGCTTAGTACACCTCCCAAGGGAAACTTTATATACACTGCTTGCACTCAAATACAACAGTGCAACAGTAACTTCAAAGATTATGGGCATCTGAGAAGCTTACATAGTTTCAATTCTCCTTGGATCAGGAACTCAACTGAAAACAAGGATGTAAGAATCTGAAAGTCAACTCTCACATTACAAATTGCACTCATATCTCTCCTCTCCAAAGTGTGATAAAAATAGACACTTTTTTATGCCTTTTTATGCCTGTTTTCTTTTTTTATTCAAGTTCATATTGCCATTGCAATGCTAAAATTACCTGCAGACCACTTTAATAGGTAGACCTGTTCTAATGCTGTCAGGCATACAGAGTAGGTCAGAACGACCTGCTGAAGTTCAAACTGAGCTTCAGAAAGGGGAACAGAAGGACTTCAAACCTTGATGCAGATGTGTTACAGCTGCAGGAGAACACATTGGGTTCACCAGCTCACTAAAACAGCAGAAAGTTCTACAGCAGAAAACTTGAAGAACAGTGCCAGGTCTGCTGATTTCTGCTACACCATTGGACACCAGGGTCAGAATTTAGCCTAAACAACATGCAAGCATTGTCACGATCCTGGGTCATTTTGTTGTTTATGGTTTATGTTTAAGTTCATTAGCTTATCTAATTTCATTTCTATTTTGCCTATGTTGCCCTGTTATAGTTCATTGTTTATTAGATTCCACTTGTGTCTTCACCCCTGTGTTTAAGTCTCCCTTGTCCTTCATGTGTGTCAGGTCTGCGTGTGTTATGTTGTCAAGCTCGTGTTGTCATGTTTCCTGTTCTGTTTTGAAGAGGTCTGGTGTCCCACGTTCATTGTGTTTAGTTTCACTTCCCCTGTGGCGTCATTATGTTATTTCTAATCAGCTCCTTTCCCATGTGTTTCCACTTTCCCTGTTCACCTCCCGTGTGATTTAGTCTGTGTGTTTTCATTCATTCCTTGTCTGGTTGTCTGTTGAGTTTTCATCATGTTTCCATGCCTCCATGTTTCCAGGTTCTTCCATGTTCAGGTATTTTTGACACACTTTGGGATCCTTAGTACCAGCTGAGGTTAGTTTAAACAGCTACATGAGCATTGTTACTGTAGCATAGCCATCCCTTTCTGATCACAGTGTACCCATCTTTTGATGGCTGCTTCCAGCAGGATAATGTGCCATGTCACAAAGCTTAGATCATCTCAAACTGATTTCGTGAACATGTCATTGAGTTCAATGTCCTCAAATGGCCTCCACAGTCACCAGATCTCAATCCAGTGGAGCACTTTAGGAATGTGGTGAAACAGTAAATTTGCATCATGGATATGCAGCTGACAAATCCGCAGCCACTCTGTGATGTTATCATGTCGTTATGGAGTAAAAACTGATCTAAGCCATGAAGAACTGAGGCAGTTCTCAAAGCAAAAGCGGGTCCAAATTAATACTAACAAGGTGCACCTATAGCGCTCTGCCCACTAATAAATAAATACTGACCATCATTTACTGAACAAGGTTAAATGTTTAGAAGGTCTTTTGTGTGTGATTTTTTTATTGCACACAATAGTAATGCAACACACTGAAGACACTATTTGTAGGTCAGCACTACTTCGCGTGGCAGGTCAGGACTAAAAGAAAACTAAGCAGGACTCAACCTGACTGAGCTTTAGATTAAGGCTGTGGTTCCTACAGACTTATCCCTGATGTTCCGGATAAATTTTAAGCTGAAAACAGAGACTATAAGTCTGCAGCCATCAGCGCTTCCTCTAACATTCACTTGGAATGGCTAAAATCCTGCAGAGCCGTTATGATCGTTGTGGTCGAAGCAAAGTGCAGGTGGAGCTAAACAACAGGGGCAATTTTCCTAATTAGTACAGCAGAGATGGCCTCATTAAATGACCCCCTGCAGATAAACATCCCACTTGGCAGGTTACAGACTTACCCTCAGGGAGAGCAGTTAAGAAAGTGGGGACAGGCATTACAGACAAGAATAAAATCATCATTTTAGAGGAAGACAGGAAGCGATATAGACAGTCAGCACTAAAAAAAAAAGACAAATACAGGTGACGAAAGAAGTCACAAAAGCAGAGAGCAAGACCCTGGGATACAAAAAGCAAGACTGGGCAGGGGTAGGTTGGGTTCCTCACTAAAAATACATAGCATCTTATTTGTTCTTTGTATATCTGTGTTTGTGTGCTATTAGCCCCTTTAACAGCACAGATGCAGGGAATGTATTAAAGCAGTCACAGCTTGGAGAAACACAGACTTACTTCTAAAAAAGGCAACTATTTTAGGCAGAATTCAGATTAAAATAACTGAGAGGACAAATAGAAAGTCTCTTCTTTGCCTTCTCTCTCCCCTTTGTACTCCCTCGGTCCTGCCAGTTCTCTTAGTGCTGCTACTTGAAATATCCATCGTCTAATTCAAAGAGAAAGAACACCATAGATTTGAGTAGGCATGTACTGAGCAAGAGTCCAAACTGTCACATTGATAAATGAATAAGTACATAACAGACAGTGATGGGAATTAATAATAAAATAAAAAAAATAACCTAAAAAAAAAATTCAGCCTGAAGCAAAAAAAAGCTATGCTAAATAGACCCTGACAGGTCTGAATATTGGAAATTTTGCCCCAGAATGGCAGCAATGAATCTCTTGGGATGATAAGTATAGACGGGTGAGCTTATATTTTTTACGCTGCCCTACTGAACTCTCAGCAGGGGAAAATCCCCTTTGATATAAACTACGAAACACAAATAGTTACTTTTCATCTTTTTTTTAGAGCTACAAAAAGTCCAGCATAGCTCATTTAAGTTCGGAGAAGCAGTAAAAACAAACGTACATGCTGCCAATTACTTGGTTGGTACATTTATATTGCTGATAGATTTTGTGTTACGGCTGCTCGTTCCAAAAGCTTTCCTCGAATGGATTCAGTGGATACACAGACATCCTCTCTCACTTGTGCCCTCTGTTATAATTTCTACTTTGTGACTGTCAAGAGAGATGTTCCACAAAAAGAAATTTAAAAAATGTATATTTAAAATCGACAGGAAAAGAGAATAATTTTTAATGATCTTTTACTTTTTTTTATAGGCAGTAGAAGCAAAAAAAAAAAAAAAAAAATCCCCTTTATTCAGTTTCCAAAGTCGGACTGATCATTTCAATGGTAACCACTGTCCCTGGAATCCACTGGTTTGCTGTGTGCAGTTTGCATGTTCTCATTGTGCCCATGTGAATGCTCTCCATGTACTCTGGCTCTCTACCACAATCCAAAGACAGGCATGTTAAGTCTGTTTGTGTTAGCCGTGTGATAGACTGGCGACCTGTCAGTGTTGTACCCCACGTTTCCATACAGCAACTTAAATGAGCAGCCGTCCAACACCCCAGATCTGGAAATGAACGGGTATCTTCAGTGTTGCTGTGCTTGGGCATGACTGTCAACCTTTGCCTGTT